TTATTGTGCTAATGATTTTATTAATAAATGAAATGAAATGAAAATGAAATCTCAGGTTCTGGATCAAACTTTGTACAAAAATTAAAAAATTGTGCTCGGTTTCAGCTAAATTGCAAACATTTTAATAAGAATTAGAATGTCAAGATATTTTTCGAACATATTTTGAGAGATTTCTGTAACCTTGCGGAGTGCTGAGAGGTTTTCTTTTTATCACATCATGATGTAGCGAACAAATGTGGCACTTTCCAGAAACCGCTACTTGGGGTTTACCGATTTTGACAATTCTCAAGTAAAAGTAAACAACGGCTTAGAAACTTTAGATGCACTGAAATTTTCTAACACCTTAACAAAAATCGCCGTTTTTTAACATTTTCGCTGTTAATTCTTTTTACAAATTTATATTTTGCAATTTAACACAATAAAACCTCGTTTCCTGTTAAAAAATTGATTATTGAGAAAATTTACTATTTTACAGTCTATTTTATCCTCCCATTTGGCTTTGTTGTAGTTGTTTAGTGTTGGACAATTTTTGCTCTTAAAATTAAGAAAACGCGAATATGTGGTAGATTTTAGACCTTGTGTGGTAGATGCTCAAAAAAGTGACAGATCTACCACAATGTGGTAGAAGTCCGATCACTGGCTCGGGAGTATGAGTAACCCAATCAACATCATTTCTCTCACCGCAGTTTTATGTACTGAGTTTCTCTCTTTTTTTTTATGAGACTTCTTGAGGCTTGTAGGAGTTCAATGAGCAAAAGTAAGCAGTCAATGATTGGTTTTGTCTTTGCCCTTTCAATTTGGACACGTGGGATGTACCTAGCCCCCTGAAATTTTTTGGACTAGCTTTAAACTAACCGATACTATTATTTTATTTTATTTTATTTTATTTTATTTTATTTTATTTTATTTTATTTTGTTTTATTTTATTTTATGTTATTTTATTTTATTTTATTTTACTTTATTTTATTTTATTTTATTTTATTTTATTTTAGTTTATTTTATTTCATTTCATTTAAAATATTTTAATTTTTATTGTTTAGATTGGATAGGCCTTTTATGTATTTTTTTTTCATCTAATTTTATTTTTTATTTAACTTATTTTATTTCAATTTTAAAGTTTATGTTATGTTGTTTTCTATTTTTTTGTTTGGTTTTATTTTTCTTTTTTCATTTATTTTTTTACTTTATTAAACCTTTTATATTTTATTTGGTTCAATTCGTGGATTATGTTTTTAATTGAAATCAACTGTTATATTTTACTTTTCACTTCTAAATATTTTTTTATTTTTAATTCATATTAATTTAATGCTTATGCCGATGACATCGACATCATCGGTAACAAAAACCGCGAAGTCTGTTCTGCCTTTTCCAAGTTGGATAGGGAAGCAAAGCGCAAGGGTCTGGTGGTAAACGAGGACAAGACGAAGTATCTCCTGTCATCAAACAAACAGTCCGCACATTCGCTCCTTGGCACACACGTCACTGTTGACAGTTACAATTTCGAGAAAGTAGAGAATTTCGT